TCTGAGCCCCCAATAAAATGATTTTTAAAAGAAAAAAAAAGAATATATACTCATCATTTCTATTCAACAATGGACTAAACTTTCTATCTGATGGGGGCGGGGCACAATAAAAGACCGCCGATGAATCCCCTCTGACCATAGTCTGTGGACATGAAAAGCCTTGTTATCACACAGAGCCTTCTAAATTTGGTTATAGATGATTCAGAAACCAAACACACTGCCATTGAGTCAATGCTGACTCATAGCAACCCTACAGGATGGGGTAGAATTGCCCCTTTGAGTTTCTCAGATTGTAACTGTTTACAGGAGTAGAAACCCCCATCTCTCCCCCTCAGAACCGCTGGTGGCTTCGAACTGCTGGCCTTCAAGATTGCAGTATTCTGGTGGTTTAGATTTGCTGACCTTGCATATCGCAACCAATTTCATAACCACTATGCCAGTCAGTTAAAATGTAATGCCTTATCATTTGATCTCCTTTTAGATTCATTTTAAAACTGTTTCAATTTTTAATATTTTCTGCTTTCTCTTTGTGGTAGTTACATAATCTGGTGTCAACTTGAGTCCATTAAGATTGAAGGGATGGAGTTAAGCCTATCAATCAAGTCACAGCTTGATGACATCATTTGGAGGCACTACAGAGATAAATAGCTCACTGGAGGCCACATTCTCTCTGCTTCGACATTTCCTGATGACAAGACACATGGAGCTACACTGATGGAGTCAGAGCCCAACAGCTGGAGGAGCCACATGGAGACCCACACCAGTACTGAGATGCTTCCACCACCACTGGATACACAAAACTTTCCACCCACTAGCCTGATCTTCCTGCATTCAGCATCATTGCACAGCTGCATGAGTCTAAAGAGGAATTTATTGACTGGTATCGGACACATGGGCTAATATCGGACTTATAGACTTGATGTAGACTGGACTGGGATGTTTTCTTAATATAAAATTACTCTTTGATATAAATCTCCTTCTTATACATTTATAAGTGTCTCTGGATTTTTTTCTCTAGTCAACCAGACTGACCCAATCTTCAATTGAGGTTTTTCTCAGTATTGTCACTAATAGTGTTTTTTTGTGTGTATGTTTCTTGTTTGCTTTATATAACTTTTTGTATATGAAATCTGGGATAGGTAAACCTATAAGGCAGTCACTGGGTTAATAATTACCTAGAGCATGGCAGGGAAGGTTGGGGAGAAATGGGAAGCTAACAGTGAGTATAAGAAAGAAAGTGTTCCAAGAGGGGAGGGAGAGACAAGGAAAAAAGGAGGAGCTGATACCAAAGGCTCAAATAGAAAGGAAATGTTTAGCAAATGATGATGGCACAAAATAATCTTTAAAAAAAGAAAAAGAAAGTTTTCTGAAATTAATTGTGGTGGTAATTACACAACTCTTCTTAATATGATTGAACTATTAAATTATAAGATATGTGAATTAATGCCAATAAAATTATTTTTAAAAACCTCTTTGGACTTGGTTTCAAGAAATAAGATAAATATATATAAACCAATTGTATTTCTGCCATACCAATGTAAAATCTAAATCTGAATTAAGAAAGCAATTCAATTTACATCATCAAAAAGAATAAAATATTTAAATAAATTTACAAAGTTTATATACTGGTAATTCCAAAATACACTAATTTTTAAGAAACACTACCCAAATGTCCTCAAAAAAAGCACTGCAATGCTGTGAACTGTTTGATTCGTTCTTCATTTCATAGCCATTGTTACTCCCACCGAAAGAATTCGTTTTCCTAGTAAGTTTTCCTAAAATCTGGGTCAGAAGGGGGGGGGAAGATACTGAGTGGATTCTAGCATTCAGGTATGAGTGACTGCTAACAAGGTGGTTGCAGAGATTTTTTATTTTTCGGTAGACAAATGTAACATCATTTCCTATGGCTTAAAATTTTCCTTAATGTGCATAAAAACGAAACAACCAAAGTCAAACCATGAAATCAAATGCAACTCGCAGTGAGCTCCTACGCTATAAAGGGGAGCTGCCCCACAGAATTTTCGTATCTTTGTGGAAGTCAAAATCCCAGGCCTTTATTCAAGAGCCATCCTTTAGCATAGTGGTACAAGACAAAACATTTGCATCATCTAGGTACTTGATAGTATAAGGAGGACCTGCCTCTTGTGAACTGATGAACATATTCTCCTATAAATCAACATCCAAACTCACTGCCATAAAATTAACTCCAACTCCCCTAATAAAATGATTAAAAACAAAGAAGAAGAAGAAAAATCATATCATTGTAAATGAGGGTGAGTGCAGAGTAGAGACTCAAAGCCCATTGGTAGGCAACTGGACACCCCCTTACTGAAAGGTTGTGGGGAGGAGATGAGCCAGTCAGGGTGCAGGGTAGCAAAGATGAAACATATAACTTTCCTCCGGCTCTTAAATGCTTCCTTCTCCACACTATCATGATCCCAATTCTACCTTACAAATCTGGCTAGACCAGAGGAAGTACATTGGTACAGATAGCAACTGGAAACACAGGGAATCCAGGACAGATGACTCCTTCAGGACCAGTGGTGAGAGGGGCGAGGCCTGGAGAGTGGAGAGAATGTGGGACAGAAAGGGGGAACCGATTACAAGACTCTACATATGGTCTCCTCCTGGGGGATGGACAGCAGGGAAGAGGGCGGGGGGAGACATCGGACAGTGTAACATATGACAAAATAATAATAATATATGAATTATGAAGGGTTCATGAGGGAGGGGGGAGCAGGGAGGGAGGGGGGAAAATGAGCAGTCGACATTAAGGGCTCAAGTAGAAGGCAAATGTTTTAAGAATGATGATGGCAGCAAATGTACAATATGTGCTTGACAAAACGGATATATATATGGATTGTGATAAGAATTGTAGGAGCGCCCAATAAAGTGATTTTTTTTTAAAATTTAACTCCAACCCATAGTAACCCTATAGGGCAGGATAGAACTGCCCCTGTGGGTTTCTGAGACTAAGTTTTTATGAGCACAGGGAGCCCTGTGTTTCTCCCATATTCTCTTATACTTTCCTTTAATGAAGACGTCTCATAAAAGACTCAGTAGACCCGAATCCTTCTACAGAACACCTGTCACAGATCCCTGTCCTCAAGGCTTTCCTTCGGTGTTTTTCTGTGTTGGATCCTCTCAAGTGATGAAATTCTCATTTTTCTCAATTGTGTGTTGACTCTTTACTGTGTGCTTATCTTTGAGATTTCTTATTAAGTATGAATTCCATTCTTTTGCAAATTCCATTCTTTGGTAACAACAAAGAAGGGTCAATACACAGTAGTTTCCTGCAAAATGGGACTCTCTGGGGCACACATCGGAAAGGTTAGAGAAAGTCTACACACGATGTAAAATATAACTAATATCAGAACAAATTATGTAGAAATTGTTAAATGGCAATCTACTTTCCTGTATAAACTTTCCCAGAAAGCACAAGAAAAACTTCTCTTTTTTTTTAAGTTCTTGCTTTGCTGCAACTGTAAGACACAAACCACAGGGAAAATGCCACCCACTACCCACGTGGACCTCTTGCTATCTATGGTCTGCCAACCTGGAATATTCATGAACCCTTTCCATCTTTTACAGCTGTCCTGTAGGGTTTTGGTGTTTGTTAGACTGTAACCTCCTCTTTCAATCCAATTCCACTTTCCTATTGTCTATCAGAGATTCTCAATAACCTCCAGTTTCCGAAGGTACTCCTTTTTTTTTCATCAACAATTTTATTGGCATATAATTCACATATATAATTCAGTAGTTCAATCACATCAAGAAGAGTTGAACAATCATCACCAGTGTTTTAGAACATTTTCCTCATCCTTGTACTCATCGTTATTGGCCCCCTATTTCTCCCCAAGCTCACCTGCCAACCCCCAAAGGAATCATTAATCCAGTTACTATTTCTATAGATTTACCTATCCTAGGTTTCATATACAGAAAAGCATTTAAACAAACAAACAAAACTAACAAGAAAAACAAAACAGATAAGAACCTCAATCAAAAAGAGAGCAGGAAATATTAAAAACTAGAGCAAATTTAAATGGATCGCAGGGAGATGAAAGGATGGGTGTTACATGGAAACCTAGCCACATCAAGGCACTCCTTTTTATGGCCCAGCAGTGCTGTGAAGTCCTTCATACCGTTTTCCTGTGACTTTAAGTGCCTTTAGGAGGGCTGAAAATGTTAAAAAATCTTAACCCAATCTCAAACGTTCATACTTAGACATGAATGAGGGGAAACCTCACAACTGACAAGATTCACAACAGTCTAATACTGTCATGAGACTAAAGTTGTAAATGGTGGGAGAAAATATGTACAGAAAATAATATGTAGAGAAAAGAATGTAGTCTGATAGAAAAAAATTGAAAAGGCTCTGTATTAGAACCAAGAACCCTAGGTTCTAATATCCAATTATACATTCAAATTTACCTATGGTAAGTTACATGCTCACTCAAGTGTAAATTTACTTATCTGTTATAAAGTAAATTAAAAAATCCTTATAATTTGACAAATCTCTGACTCGAGGGCCTACCATTATGAGAAATAGTGTTCTTCATGCAGTGAAAGGTAAAACTGATTAGACTTTTGCTACTTAACGTCTAACCAAACTTCAAGCAAATTCCAAGAAATCTACTAAATGGTAGTTCATGCAAAAGAGAAAACAAGGTAAATTTTTTCTTTCCTTTATTCATATACACTTTCCAGTTATTCAATTAGCACTTGGAATGGTTTTCAATAATATGCACATATTTCCTCTCACATCTCAAAATACTACTATTAACTTATTTCTAAATAACAGAAATAAAAACTATATAATGTTAAAACAACACAGTGAATAAATGTTCAATCCTTATCTCATCATTCATCTGAAAAAGTGAACAGACCCATGCCTTTTATTGATATAGAAATAAGGCTAAGGATAATAAGACATTTTCCCACAGCATAAAAAATAAAACTGTATTTGAGTTTCAATTCTTTCTTCCACTTGCAATGTTCGTATATCAAAGAAAAAGAGGTTTTAAACGCCAACAATAACAATGACAGTAATAAGTGTTCCTATTTTAAATGAAACAGCAGTGGCTATTTTAACTGAAAACTAATCTTTTTATTTCTATTTCTCTAATGTTTATCATTTTTGCAGTATCAGTTAATTGTATAATTAGCCTTAAAACAAATGTACTTTGTTAGTTCCATTTTTCATGAAAGATGTTATTAAAAGGAAATAAGCAAATGTTTTTAACTTACCGTTTTAGTGCCATGCTTCAGTGTTATCTCATGTGAGTCAGGAATCTTTTGGACAGGATTCTGAAACAAGAAAATTCCATGACATCAATAAGTAAAATAGCACACCGGGGGCAGGAAGGCAGGGGGAAGTGGGCATACCACCGTCACAGGAAACATAGTTTTGAAAAATTGCATTAGTGACTTTTTAGCACGAAGTTTTGAAAACTAATAAAAGAAAAGTTTTTACACTTCTAGAGACTACACTTGATCACCATAAGTTGTGATAAATTTATTTCAAACCTTTAAAATGATAAACCTAAAAAACTCTTGTATGTTGCACAAAATTTTCTTTGTTTCTTTACACTATATAACATAACTTCTTATTAACCTAAATTAAACATTTTAATTTAATCCAAAGGAAAAAACTAAATCTTTGGAGGTGTAGAGACATGATTTCATGGGACAACCCAACCAATCGGACTAACGTTATACTTAATGCTTCTGCTCTTCCTCCTAGATTAGTGCACAGTGCCTCGGGAATTAAAAACTAGGAAGTGGCCATCCAGGATACAGCACTGGATCTCTGTCTGCCTGGAGCAGCAGAGGGAGGAGTGTCCAGAATGAGAAGAACTAGAATACAGTTAGATTACCTCCTTTGCCAAATTACCAGAAAAAGTGGGTGGTATCTGGTTCCCAACTATACTGAAGGTTTTGATCATCAAAGATTCTAGAGAAGAATTCTGATCAAAAGGAGGGTAGTGGAAGTAGAGAATTACAAATCCCAATGGAATCCAAACTTTTTGGAGACAATGAGGCTGGATGATCTCAAAAATTACTACTCTGAGATAAGTAAGTTTAGCTTAATTAGAAAAGAATATCTACTCTGAATATTGTGCTGTTTTAAAGAATTATCCCCACATATGATCAAATTGACAAAAGCAACTCAAGAAGGGGGGCAGTAAATTTACGTAAATGGTGGTAGAAACACTTGGGAAATGATAGCATATGATTGCACACTTGAAAAATGGAATCAATTTAATTGAACTGTGTATGTAGAAATTTTTGCCTTAGCGTATGTTTTGTTGTGTATATTTTTACCCCAAAAATACTATAAATAAAATTATTCCAAAACGAAACCAGTTGTTACTGATCATTCACACAGAGAAAATGGGCATTCCATTTTCCTTTAAATCATATCAGAATCAAGAGAGTATATAAAAAATCTATCAAAATATCTGGAATAAAGTAAAAGGATTCTCTTTTTTTAAAAAAATAAATGTCGGCATTTATAGAGGTCTATATACAGGCATCTACATATGTAAATATATTTATATATGATGATGGGGAAATAGATCTACATGCATATATTTATAGGTTTAGTATTAAGGTAGCAGATGGACATTGGGCTTCCTCAATGCAAGAACACTTTGTTCTATAAAATTGGCATTCCATGATGCACAACTTCCCGACAGGATTGCTGAAGACAAATGTGTACATAAGCAAATGTGGTGAAGAGCTGCTGGTGCCCGGCTACCAAAAGATATAGTGTGTGGGGTCTTAAAGGCTTAAAGGTAAACAAGCAGCCATCTAGCTCAGGAACAACAAAGCCCATATGGAAGCACACCAGCCTGTGTGATCACAAGGTGCCGAAGGGATCAAGTATCAGGCATCAAAGAACACAAAATCATATCATTGTGAATGAGGGGTAGTGCAGATTGGGGACCCAAAGCCCATCTGTAGACAACTGGACATCCCTTACATAAGGGTCGTGGGGAGAAGATGAGCCAGTCAGGGTGCAGTGTAGCAACGATGAAACATACAACTTTCCTCTAGTTCTTAAATGCTTCCACCTCCCGCCCACTATCATGATCCCAATTCTACCTTACAAATCCAGCTAGACCAGAGGATGTACACTGGTACAGATAGGAACTGGAAACACAGGGAATCCAGGACAGATGATCCCTTTAGGACCAGTGGTGTGAGTGGAGATAACAGAGGGTGGAGGGAACATGGGGTAGAAAGGGGGAACTGATCATAAGGATCTACATTTAACCTCCTCCCTGGGGGACGGACAATAGGAAAGTGGGTGAAGGGAGACATCAGACAGTGTAAGACATGACAAAATAATAATTTATAAATTATCAAGGGTTCATGAGGGAGGGGGGAGCTGGTAGGGAGGGGAAAAAGGAGCTGATATGAAGGGCTTTAGGCAAAAGCAAATGTTTTGAGAATGATGATGGCAACAAATGTACAAATGTGCTTGACATACAATGGATGTATGTATGGATTGTGATAAAAGTTGTACGAGCCCCCAATAAAATGATTTTTAAAAATTAAAAAATAAGTGTATCAATGTTTCGGGTAAAAAAAACAAATATTTCTGAATAATTTTCAATATCCTCTATTATAGAATATACCAGGCAAAGAGAAATAAATCTTCAATAGTAACTAAAACTGGCATTTAAAATCACTCTAAAGTTATATTTGGTAATAAATTTAAACCAAATATTTTACATAAAACTATCTCCCTGGTAATATATAATAAAAATACACATTGAAATTTGGTTACATCTTATTAAAATACCATCCTTTTCTATTTTACAAAGCCCTCGGGGGGAAAAAAATCCCACAAAAAGCAAATTATTATTATTACACTGAAGGAAATCAATAAATTGAGACACTGCTTCTCATACTTTAAAATGGAAAATTATACATAAGTACACTGTATGCTCTGGGTAAAGTTATCATCACAGACATTCCTTAAAAATATCCAACAAGCTTTCTCAGAACCAAAACTATCACAACCCATCTTTTAAAAGTGGGCAAACCAAAAATGCCATGTACTTCATTTGTAACAGGCCAAAATCTACCTATGGTAGCTAGTTAACCCTTCAAGTGAAAAAAAAAAAAAAAAGTCATTCAGAAACAGTACAAATAAGGAACTCAGAGTAATCCGCTAATTCTTTGAATCCATAAGCATTTACTGATGTGAGATTATGCAGCCAGATGGGCTCAACAGCAAGGGCTGGGTGTGACAACTAGACATAGTCTCCACTCACCCTCCTCCCTCCCTCCCTCCTTGTCGAAGAAGCATCTGGTCGAAGATGGAGACACCGGTGACTCTAACTCAAAGTAATAAATGTTATGACTGACAGGTCTGGGCAGGATAATTGAGGGATACAGAAAAGGGAATTATATATCAAACATAAGGCATCACAGTGATTATTTGAATAAGAAGCTTCATTGTTTAGTTGAGTCTTCATTAGCTAAGAGCAGGCCAATCATACTAAAATTCTCCACCCATTACAAATTTATGTTAAGAACAACTTACAATTTAATTAAACCAGTAGAAACTAAGACTTTGACCCTTATCTTCCTTCACTTCTTCAGAATCCTTCCTTCATGTATCAAGTACCAATTCTCTCAATGCTATCTTCTATCTTCCCCCCACCCCCGGCCCTTTTCTCAGTATATAAACAACTTGCCATAGGAAAATAGCAGCTGCCGCTACTTGTATCCCTAACTAACTACTGCCCTCCACTCTATCTTTTGCTTTGTAATCAAGCATTTTTACAATAGTTTCCACTTAGTCTCTATTTTTCAGCCACTACTTCTACTACTTTGACAAGGTATTGGTCATGTTATACATAATGCTTAGCACACAAAAGGTGCTTAGTAAATGTTTCTTGCATAAACAAATCACTCTAAAAGCCCTTGACCACATTTCAGGATTTCTCTACACACTTGATTCTTTCAATAATTTGATAACTATTTATTTCTTCCATCTTGAGACTGTCCTTTCTTAGGAGGAAACTGTGCCTTAACTAAAAAGTCAGGAAAACTCGGGTTTTAAGTCTAGCTCTGCCATTCACCCATCATGTCATTACCACCAGAATGTTATGATTCTCATTTTTTCCTACAAATGAGAAAAACAGTACACGCCACTTAGGTCACTCTGAGTTACTTAGAGCTCTTAAAGTAGGATTATCCAGAGAAGAGTTTCACAGTCAGTGTAACTGCTATCAGTAAGCTGTACACCTATAAAAAGGTGAACTGGAAAAGGTTTCATGATAGATTAACTTACAATAGCAATACCAACAACCAAAAGAGAGCGACTTCTGACAAGGTGGTGAACTAAGCAGAGAAACGGGAGCTACAAATGATAGTCCTAGTACCCCATGCTTCGAACGAACGGAGAGAAAAGTGGACTAAACACCAACTGGGAGGAAAAGCTACACAAAAAGCATCCAGACACTCACTTGCCAGCTGTCCTGACACGACACAGCCTGGCCATCTTGAACTTCTGCAAGCAGCATTAGACCAAACAGTGACCTGACAACACAAAAAATACACCCATACCTGATGTCAAGAAAGGTCAATGCCTTCCTTGTTCCCCAAACTCTCCTGGAGACCAGAAGTGTGGCCTTCACCTCAAGTCAGACCCGCTCTCTGAGTTCCGCTCTTGCTGCCCCACCTGAGTCTGGAGGCTCATGAGCTCCAACTCATCAGACCAACAGAAAGCGGCTGGCTGCCCTGGGTGGGAATAAAATCCTCCAGAACCACCTGCCCTACCCCCACCTGACCCGTAGGCCTCAAAGAGCTCTTTTGAGAACAAGCACCCTGACCGCAGCCACTCTCTGACTCTGCACAAACTAGTTTGGGATCACGTTCCTGACCCCAGACAACAACATCAGTGGGAACGTCATCTAGTATATGTGTCCTACCTCTTCAACCCGCATCCCCACCCAGTAATGCAGTACATACACACATCTAAAACAAACAAAGAACCAAAAGCAACAATTTTAAAAATAGCATCAAAATAAGCCTACAGGAACCTGGAAAAAACAACAAAGAATATCAATTACAGCAGAAATAAATGAAACAGAAAGCAATAAAATCAACAAGACAAGAAGTTCATTTTCTAAAATAATGAACAAAGTTGAGAAACCACTGACAAACACAACAAAGGAAAAGAACGGAGATGCTAATAACACAAAGAAGAAATAGAATGGGGAAATAACAGAATACTATGAAGAACCATACTCCAACAAATTTGAAAATCTAGAAGAAATGAACGCATTTCTAGAAACACTACCTACCTACCTGAACTAACATGAACTGAAATTGAAAATCTGAACAAAGAAATGTATCAGGTCATTAAAACAACCCCCGAGAAAGGGTCAGGGCCAAGTAGATTCTACCAGACATTCAAATAAGAGCTGATAACAATTCTACTCTAATTATTCCACAGTAAAGAAAAGGGTGGAATACATCTGAATTCACTTTATGAAGCAATGCATATCCCTCAAAATGGTGCAATCACTATGGGAAGTGATATGGCACTTCCCCAAAAAGTTAGAAATAGAAATATCAAAGGATCCCAATAATCCCTCAGCAAGGGGCAGGGGAGACCATGACACAAATAGATACCTGCACATCATGTTTCTCACTGTGCTGTTCACAATAGCAAAAAGATGGGAAACCCCTAAATGATGCCTATCCATGGAAGAAGAGTTCGACTTTGGCATATACCCACAATAGAATATTAGACAACATTAAAACTAATAATGATGATGAATCTGGGAAACACCTCATAACATGGATGCACCTGAAAGGCATTATAATTGCTGAGTCAATGGCAAAAGGTTAAATGCTGTAAGAAACCACAGTTGTAAAAAGTCAAGAAAAGGTTTTCACACTAACAGAATCATTCCTTGATGGTTACCAAAGGTGGGAGGGTAAGCAGGGAAAGTTACCGTTAGAGGGTAGACAGCTTTAACTGTCATCTACAGAAGAATCCTAATCAAAAGGGAACCTCCAAAACAATTTTAAATTGTCAGACTCCAGACTATCTGGACCCATTAGAAGGTGGAAGAAATTACTGCCCTGAGATCATCTTTAAACCTTAACCAAAAATATTCCCTGAAGTCTTTTAGGGTAGTTTAAAAAGAAAAATGCCTGTGTTGAGCATTATCCTCTTTTAAGAACTTTCTGTATGAGATCAAAGCAACAAGAGCGATTCACGAGACAGACAAAGACCTCAGAGGGCAGTTAAGTCTGTTAATGGCGGAGGAACAATTCAGAAAAGTAGAGGGAGAATGAGTGCATAACTTGAAGGCTGTAATCAGTGTCGCTAAATTAGACATGTTTATTGCACAATTTCAATTGGTGTTTGCTTTACAAAAAGAATAGAGTTTGGCACCATTAGGTGGTCAATAAATGACCAAAATCAAACCAAACTCACTGTCATCGAGTCAATGCTGAATCACTGTCTCTCGCTGCTGCTGGTTTCAAACTGCCAACCATGCGGATCACAGTCAGCAAGTAACCACTACACCACCAAATGACAGAAGGTTTTACTGGGGGCTCATACAACTCTTATTAACAATCCATACATACATACATCAATTGTATAAAGCACATTTGTACATTCGTTGCCATCATCATTCACAAAACATTTGCTCTCCACTTAAGCCCTTGGTATCAGTTGCTCATTTTCCCCCTCCCCACTCCTCCCTCCCTCATGAACCCTTGATAATTTATAAATTATTTTGTTATATCTTACACTGTCCGACGTCTCCCTTCACCCACTTTTTTGTTGTCCATCCCCCAGGGAGGAGGTTCATATGTAGATCCTTGTAATCGGTGCCCCCTTTCCACCCCACTCTCCCTCCACCCTCCCGTATTGTCACTCTCGGCACTAGTCCTGAAGGGATCATCTGTCCTGGATACTCTGTGTTTCCAGTTCCTATGTATTTTATTCTTACACAGGAGTAGAAAGCCCAGTCTTTCGAACTGCCAACCGCGCGGATCACAGCCCTACCCATAAACACTACACTGCCAGAACTCTTTCCAAAATTGTCCTCGTATCTGATCATATCATCCCAGTCTCTTTCACAGCATCTCCTTCTCTTTACCTGATTAATTCCTACCCCATTTTCAAGACTCAATTCAGATGTGACCTGGTCCGTTCCTAGCATTTCTGGTTGAAAGGCTCCTTAGGCAATCCCATGACAACCTCTGCTTATCTCTCTCACAGAATTTATTAGATCCATTTAACTTTTGACCTGTCTCCCGCTCTACCATTCCCAAATCAAATAATAAAATACACACTTCTCAACAGTATGTTTATCTCTATCATCTCTGTATCCCCAATCCGCAAAACAGCTGGTGTATGGCAGGCACACAATACAAGTTTTTGAAATGAACAAATAGCTCAATGTCTACCATGTTGATCACATTAGACAGCCATTTTTAGTTTACTCTCAAACTTTAAATGTAATGGTTATGTCCATGAAGAAGAGCAGATGCCATCCATCACGTCAGTCCTGGTGAAAGAGAGGCAGGGCATAATTGAACATTTCCAAAAATGGAAAACTTTCAGGATTATCCCAGGCTAAAAGCCGCCTTAAAGTTGGAAGCAGAAAGAAGGCAAGGCAGTTTTGTTTCAGACTGCAGCTGAGAAAGCAGTGGGGCCCTTTATTCTCACTACAGTCCGTCACTGCCACAGGAGAGAGAAGAGCAGGATTAGGAATTAAAAAGGCACTGACGAGGAATGAAAAGACCCTTCCCCTGATTTCTGGTCAAAGACATTAACATCTGGCTTATTATTTTTGTGGAAAGTGCTTCACCTACTTATTTCAGAGATGTCCATATTCCATATTTTGGGTAAAACACAAATTCCATACTACCCTATGCTCAATTATCTAAACCATGCTATGATCCCTGTGCAGTAGACATATGTAAACAATAAAAACCAATGCAGAGGAGAACAGTTCAAATGTTCCACTTGGGTGATAATCTGTGTCTTATTTCATAATTAATTACTTTTTCATCCCTCAGTAACACGTGTCACCAAAAAAGTTGGGATTAAAATTACTTCACTTAATTCAAGACAGAAACATGCCTATATATAGACAATTCCTGACTTTTAAAGAAAAAACTTGCAAGAACACTGAACAACTTAGTATTTACATTAGGAGAAAATTAAATGTTTAAATAAATGGTGTTTACATTTAAAATCCAAGTTTTACTGGAAATCATGTAGGGCATAACTCATAAAAAAGCCACACCACTGGCACAACTAAATCATCTAAAATAGCAATAATCCATCTTTGGGTAACATATCACTTGATGGTGACTGTTCTTTTTCCAAAACTTTTACTGATGACTTTGTGAAATATGGTTTAAAAGTGAAATTTGCTCTAATAGTAAAATATCTGCAAGATTTTCTGGCCAGGAGACATTATAAACTGCAAGATTTCAATGAAGCCATTTATTATCAGAATTCATAACAAAGCTGCAGTCTTAATGGCAGAGGAGGAAAAAAGATGCCCGCTTCTATTCTATTTGGAGTCTAAATGCCAACTAATGGATTATTTCCCAGGCTCTTTCGGCTATCCCCAATAACAACAATGATAGCAAGCATATCTGAAATAACATGAACAATTCCATCTGAAGTACATCTCTATAGTGTTTTCAAAAGACTTGCAAATTCCTTTCAGGAATAAACTTAAGTCGACTAGAAGTCACTTACAAGAATAGCCAACCCAATAATGGAGCTGCCACCATGGGGGGTGGGGGTGGGGACAGGGGGCAGGCTGTTTGTGGGTAAAGAATGCCAATGGAGGTTGCCAACCAGGAGCCTGTAAAGGAGTGCTCTGTTCTCCCAGAAACCATTGGGCTGGAAGTGAGCAGACAAGCAGAATTAGAATCTCTTCTAATGTAACTTTTGTGACCCAGTAAGAGGGAATTAACATTACATCACTCTTCATTCATGTCCTGACGCACCCAATATTGAGTATTTAATTACCTAACACATACCACTTGCTCCATTGAAAGATCAAAGCAGGCAGGAAAACAAAAGGTTTCAGATGCTATGATAGACAGAGAGCATAATTCCAAAAGGACTGCTACAAAATCTAAAAACTTTCATTAAACAAAAAGATCAAAACATGATGCTATTTGCTTTAGGACATATCTAAAGCACAGGTTCCCAGACTTATTTGGCCCACTACCACGTTCTCAGAAAAAAATAACTAAAGTTACTCAGCACCCACGTGGCAAATAAAAACTTTCATACTATAACCCATAATAATAAGGAAAAATGCATAGATATCTGCTTCAGCAGTACCCCTAGTTTGTTCCAGCACCGCCCTGGGGGCAGTATCCCCCACTATGGGAAACAACAATCTAGATGTACATGCTTGTATGGTTGTTTCCTTCTCTCTAACCCAGCGGTTCTCAACCTGTGGGCCACAACCCATCTGGGGGTCGAACGACCCTTTCACAGGGGTTGTCTGATTTATAACACTAGCAAAATTACAGTTATG